AAGTTATTTATGAGTAATGACTAGGTTCCACTTTGAGGCTGAAAGCTTAATAACACCCCCTTTGTCCCATCACACACGCACACACACACTCAATTGCATTTTAATGGTCAAATCAACTCTTCTCTTCTCTTATTTTCTTTTAAATTCTCCATTCATTTTTTTGTATGAATCAATACTTTATGTAGCATCTAAATATATACTCTGTAATTTATTTATTAAATCTAAATTGAATACTGTTGTAACTAGACTGCAAAAACACACTCGAGTCAAGCCTTATTTCAAAAGCAACACACAAAATGGTGTAATACTATTAGGGAAATAGAGGGAGTCTGAGACTGGCCACAGTGAAACACAGATTAGTGAAATTTGAAGGATTGGTTGACAAAAGATTATGTTAGTTAACGAATAAAATTCAAAGCAATATATCTATGCATTGGGCTCTGACGACTCTGTTAAAAAGATCCAAATACTTGTAATCATTTAATAATAGAAAATGTGCCAGGGCAATCTTATCAATTGGTCTAGCACTAAAATACAAATCATCTCATCATCACACAACTTTGTTTTGGCGGGTAGCGGCATTCATTGCTGTTAAACAGTGCTACCAAAGTACTCCATCCGTCCCACGAAACCTTTCTCCTTTATTTTTTCATCCGTCCCAAAAAACCTTTCTCATTTCTATTAAAAAGTCACTTTTACCCCTACTCATTATTAACCTACCTATCACATCACACCTTTTCATTATTAATCTACCCATCATATCCTACTTTTACCCATCACATCAAAGGGCATTTTTGGAAACTCAAAACCAATATACACTCATCTTAAATCCTTTAAAAATCAAAACCAGAAACTTTTTGTGGGACGGAGGGAGTAGATTTATTTTCACTAGTCATGTATGTTCATTGCAGAAAATAAAAACAGAGACAGTTGGCTGCTTTTAAATGGTAATATCATACAGTGGCGACAGTAAGCTTAACTACTTACAAATGCAACTATCCCGGGATGAGTGTACTTTGAAAGCACTTCAAAGTGATTTTCTTTATAATCATTGATGGTTTCATCAAGAGCCACAGGCAAGCCAGTTGCTTCATAAAACCTGATAATATCATCTTCACTTTCAACAGGTTCCTGGAATAAATCATTTTGAAATAAATTTCATAATGAATGAACATACGATGTCACCATGGTTTGAGAATGAGTGATGATTACTGAAAGGTAATAGTATCTATAGCTAGCTTATCATATTGGATAGCTGAAAAAAGAACTGCAAGGTTTGCTTTGAATTGATGTTAGAGCAATTCACTGCCCTACTACCATTAAGTATAATTTTCTTAAAATTCAGGTTTGTATTTTGACTAGCCTAAATTTTTTTTTTCATACTCGCATCCTCCAAATTGATTGACTTTCAGGACGAATGTTAGAATTGCAATTTTCATACACCTAGTTCAATCAGAAATCATGGATGTAAGCACTGGCACATGAATGCACCGTAAAGGTCACATTCCAGAACTGAGAGTAAAAAGGGTTTAACCCTGAATTGATATTTGATACACCTCATGCTTATTATTTCCATCAATAGTAGTAGAAAGTTTATAGGCACTCAGTATTATGCATTTAATTGAATTAATTGAACACCTAGATTCTACTGATGCCCTGCACAACTTAAGTTCCTATATGTTCTGAACTGAATTTTTTCCTTATCACTAGTATATACCTCAATATACTGCAGACAGCAATTCTTTACAGAATGGGCAAATTGAACGGCTTCCTCATAGGACCAATTCCTGTTTGCATCAGCACGAATTTCAACATTTCCACCTATTCTCTTTCTTATCTCTTGTACAATAGCAGCATCATGATTGGGATCATGACACCGAGCAACCTATATGCAAAATAGGAGATTAAATAACTGAATATTTCAATAGATATCAGCAAAAGTTCTGAGAATCTTACACTGAAAAAGCTGAAAATATCATGAAGGTCAAATAGGTTTAACAAACCTTAAGTAGGGAACATTTCCTCTGTTAAAACCCTACTACAACAATTAATACGCTTCTGGAAAAAATCTTACCTTTAGCTTTAGAGCTGTAAATCCCTCGTTCACAAGATCAGCTGCTATTCTAGCAATGTCTTCAGGGGCCCCGTTAGAGTCCAGAAGTGCACAAATTTTTACATCTGATGACCTCCCAGGAAACTCCACTCTATGCAGACGAAGTATATTAAACAAACTTGCACCTTCACTAGCTGCAATCGCATTGAGGACAGCCATCTCCAGGCCACATCGGACACTTGGAAAGATTGAAGCTGTCTAAACATGGATTGAAAAAGGAAATTCTGTAATAAAATAAATATTAGGGGGTAAAACAAGTGATTACATGTACATACCGGAATTCCTAAAGTACGCCACAACCAAGAAGAAAATAAGCCCTTCAACAAGGGAAGAAACTGGTTGATTGTAACTCCTTTTATAGTATGAGTGAGGAATTGGAGTTGCTCTTCAACATCAAAAAGGTTTTCTTTGTGAATTTCTAAAGGTGCAACCTGTTTAGTAGAGACACACAAGGAAAAATAAAAAAGAAATTTTCTTGTTACCAATGGAGCTTGAAATCAATGTTGGAGAATCATTTTTACCAATATCATCATTAAAAGATGATAGAGTTGGATGTGACGTAAAATCATTTCCCCTCCATATGATTCCCTCACACAAACAAATGTATCACCCCTAATAAATCAAAAAAGGCATAGATAATATTAACTAGTTTACCTCCCCAAAGCCAATGCTACCATCGGCAAGTGACAAACTTATAATAAAGCCTTCTCGAAAGAAGGCAGATGATTTGTAATTGGCTGAAGCTGAAGTAGGAGGGGAAGATAGCTGAACTCTGCCATAATGCAGATTTAAAATTTAATACTTTATGGATTCTGACCACAGGTAATCAATGTGACATATTTAAACCTCACCTATAAAGTGAATACTCCATTTTACAAACTTTGTAGAGCACTGGGCCATGAAAAGCAGAATTTGGAATTGAAATCTTTGAAAGGCTACCCAAAGTGTGATTCATTGCTTGACATGTAAATTTTCTCAGAGTACTACAGCCAGATAAAATGTATTATCAGAGAAATGCAACATAGATTTGGATGAGTAAATAAATCCTTCAATTATACCTATGAAAACCAGCATTGTCTTCAATGGAGCTATTAACTTCTATGACACAATCCACATTTTGTGATTTTGATGCGATTAAAGAATCTCTTAAATCCGCCTTTGTACTTACTTGCACATGCTTCACACTGCATTAAAAAATAATCAAATAGGTACTGACCCGGAAACTACAATATAAGAGCTAGTAGATTATATGTTACTCATATTAAATTTGCATCAAGTGCATAATGTTCTTACCCATGTGCCAGGCATAGGTTTTGAACTGAAACATCATGAGACGTGTAAAAGTACCGGTCTAAAATGTTTCTTGCCGTATTAGTTGCTATGGGTAGAAGACTGAAGATCGCACCACCATGGTTGTTTATGACAAGTATTGTCATTGGCTTCCGTGGAATCCTTTAAAAGCCAAGCGTCTAATTAGTTTTGGAGAAAAACTCTATGCACCACTTCCCAACAATTGAAATGAAGATAGTGAAACTTAACAAATTATCTTATCATCTGTTGTGAGAAACAAAATCAAGGTCATATATGCATAAATCATAATAACTTTCAAACATATGATGGTTTTAAACACCACTCTAAAGCAAGATGAACAGAATCTACGCATCCCCTCTACCAGTTCCAAGATGCAGTTTGTCTTGATGATATTGAATGAAAAATAATGAAGAAAGCCACAAGCCATCGACCATTCTAATCAAAGTAACAAAGAATGTAAAAGATATAGCCGGATGTCAAGGAAAGCTGTAACAAACTTACTGTTGTCTCAACAATGACAATCCATTTGTGTCATGCAGAAAAGAAACATCACCAAGTACAGAAAGTACCTATAAGAAGCACATATAACTTAATACTTCACGGCTCTAAGAAACTTATTATTTCCCAAATGTAATTACAGAAAACATCAAGGTGACAGTCTAATGAAATAATAAAAGTAAAACAAAAGGAGAGACAACTGGAAAATTTTTAGCTCAGGTTCTTGATAGGCACCCACTCCAAGGTAGAAAGACACAATTGGCAGTAAGGTAAAGGGAGGAAGTGATAAGGCTATATTGGTGAGGTTTTGTGCAAGGAATGGAGGATTTTAAGGGAGGGAAGACTAGGAACGAAATTGGCAGTGGGGAAGGAGTATTTTTAGGCTTTTGTTTAAGTGGAAAAGTGGAGAGAAAAGTAATATTAGGGTGGTGGATGGGAGCAGGCCGAAAATAAGGGAGAAGAGAGGGGGAAATAAACAGTTTAGTATTTCTTTGGGATAGATAAACCAAGTTGGTGTTAAAGAGATATTACACACTCTTCTCCTCACTTGGGGTTCAATCTAGAATTTAATTAAGATATAACACACTTAATCAAATATCTAGAACCTAACACTCACACTTAAGGAAACCAACCTTAAGATATAGAAATTAGGATTTAAAATAACAAACACAATGGTTTATTACTTGGAAATGAAAAGGAATACAATCTGTTTTCAA